TAGTTGAAAACTGTTTGGTATTTTCATGAGACGTTGGGGCTTGCTGATTTGTTCAGCTGGGTGTGTTTGACTCTTTCCTAATTTTTATCTATTTATCTGTTCTTCCCATGGAATTTTCCCTTTCTTGTGCTATCATGTTGTGACTATCGTCCTCCTCTGGATATAGAATTCTTATAAATATCATCTGTAATTCTGGCTAAGTGGCTATGAAATGTCTTAGTTTCTTCCTATCTTGGGATGTCTTTATTTCTTCTTTAAGTTAAAAAGTAATTATACTGTATATAAAAATTTTGGTTGGATATTTTTATACTTCAGGGCTTTACATACTTCCTTCCCTGCTTTCCTTGCTTCGGGGCTTTCTGCTGAAAAGTTTGATGCTATTCTGAAAGTTCTGCTATTACAAGTAAGTTGTGATTTCCCTCTTGCAACTTTTAACGTTGTTTCTTTCTTCTGTTGTTTTAACATTTTAATAACAATCTATCTTGAGGTTGTTAGGGTCCACAAGAAAGCCCATAAAAGACCACCAGTCCTGTATGCAATCAACAAGAGTGTTTATTAAAAATTACCAATATGTTGGGGTCTAACTCTCTGACAAAGTGGCAATTGGGCACAGCATTTACATTCCCATTAAGGGCAGAAAGTGAAAGAGCTATTAATAGGATAAGGTAGGTATTTAAAGAGGATTAAGATTAGAGACATCAGTAATTAAGAAGTGAAAATAAGAGGAAGTGAAGTAGAAATAAATAAAGCACATAGGCTTAAGCTTTGGGAAATAAGAGAGATGGGATGGAGTAAGTGCCAATAAAGAATAATTATAAATCTTAATCAAGTGACATGAAAACCAAGACAAAAAATTAGCAAAGCTAAAAATCAAAACAGTATACTAGTAGTCGATACTTTTCCTTGCTGGGCTGAATGTGGACTCCCCTCCCCCTAGGTTGTCTTTGAAGCTCTGCTGGTGGGAAAGCAGCTGTTACTTGTCTGCTGCTCAAACAGCTTGGAGGGGAACGGCTGTATGCAGTGTGCTTTCGGTGGTGTCTCTTCCCCGTTCCATTGAATTCCTGTGTGGACATGACTTGAACGCTGTTCCCTGATGCTTAGAATGAGCATGTCCGGCCCTCAGCATGAAGTGTCCGCCTGGCTGCTCTCCTTCCTCTTTGCTGTACCGGTTGGTCACACGTTCTGCTCTATACTTCCGTGTCTACGATAGGGGCACACACATGCTTGTATTTTCTTTTGCAGTTGGACAGTCTTCTGTTTCCCAGAGGTTAGGGTACTTTTCTGCCAGTGTCCACAGTCGGCACAAGTTTGTGTTCAAGTCAGTGCTGTTTCATTGTTCACAGATGTTGAGGGCAGTCCGACACTTAGTGGAGAGAGTGGGCTTTTGGATTAGGAAGTGTAATGGTGCTGAATAATCTGATTGCCCTGGAGGAGCAGCTTGCTTGTAGTGCTCTAGTTTGCTTTCTGTGACCATAATAAAAATATCCAGGACAACCCAGAGCCCCCAGGATAGAACCAAACACAACTGGTTAAAAAGAAATCAATGAAGTGATTAGTAGTGATATTTGGCTATACTCATAGATGGGTGTCTAGCCCAAATGTCATCAGAGAGGCGTCATCCAGCAACTGATGGGAGCAGATGCAGAAAACCCCAGCCAAACGCTAGGCGGAGCCAGGGGAACCCTGCAGAAGACAGGGAGGAAGGATTGTTGGAGCCAGAGGTCAAGGATCAACTAAGCAGGGCTCATAGGAGCTCACAGGGACTGCAGTGACAAACATGGACCCTGTATGGGTCTGGACTAGCTCCTCTGCATATATGTTACAGTTGTGTAGCTTGGTGTTCTTGTGGGACTCCCAACAGTGGGAGTGGAGGGTGTTTCTGACTCTTTTGCTTGTTTGGGGGACCCTTTTCTTCCTATGGAATTGCCTAGTCCAGGCTTAATAGGAAGGTTTGTGTCTAGTCTTATTGTAACTTGTTATGCCATGTTAGGTGGATATCCCTGGGAGGTCTGTTCTCTCTCTCTCTCTCTCTCTCTCTCTCTCTCTCTCTCTCTCTCTCTCTGAAGGGAAATGGAAGAAGAATGGATCTGGGGGAGAAGGGAGATAGGAGAGGGACTGGGAGAAGTCGGGGGAAGAAACACTGTGATCAGGATGTAATGTATGAGAGAAGAATAAAAAAAATAATACTTGACAAAAAAACAACTTAGTGGGGCAAGAAGTTTATTTCAGCTTAAAATTCTAGGTTACAGTCTATCATTGTGGGGAAGTCAAGACAGGAGCTTCAGACAGCTGGTCACCTCACATCCACAATCGAGAGCAGAGAGAAATGAATGCACGCATGCTCTCTTGCTTGCTTGTTTGTATTCTCCTTGGTCTCTACCCTGCTGTACAGTTCAGATTCTCCTGCTAAGGGAATGGTGCCACCCACCGTGAGCTGGGTCTTTGTGCATCACTTAATTAAGAAAACCCCTACAGGCATGGCTACAGGCCAACATAATAATTTGTCCCGAGTTGAGACTGTCTTCTCAGATGATTCTAGGTTGTGTCAAATTAATAATTACAGCTAAGTATCATACAGAGTTTCTCTCAGAATCAGATTCTCCTCAGCCCCAGCCTGTGAGGTAGAGAGGCACAGTGTCACCTTCTCCAGCATCTGCTCCTGCAGTACCTATGTTATTATTATGAATAATAATAATAATGTGTGAATCTTGTTTGGATGAATTCTGTTCTTATCCTAACAAGATTTATCAATCTCTGTTTCAAAAAATTCTGCTACAGAATACAACGTGGTATAGGAGTCCATAAATTCATAATTGGGGGAACTGATCTTTAAACAAATTTAAATGTAGTTTTTTATTAGGAATATTCTTTAAAATATTATGATTAATTTTGAATATTCAAGGGATAATATGGCATGTAGCATTCACGAAACCTATTTGACCCTAATTCCTTCCAGATAGGCCAAAGTCTGATACCAGAGTTCCCTAATAACCTTGAAGAAACAGTAGTCTAAATCAGACCCCCAAATGTGGCTAACGAACATTTGCAATGTGGAAATGCAAGTAAGGAACTGAATCGTTAATTGCAGTTGTTTTTAGTTGATTTAAATTTAAGAAGCCACAGTGTCTGGTAGCTACTGTTTCACACAGCAAAGGTTTATACACCAACAAAGATGTTGGATGCTGTGGTGACAGTGAGCATTGCTTTCCACCTGTCCCTGGCTGTGTGGATCCGTAACTAAGACTATTCGTCTCTGGTCTCATCTGTACCTTTGCAATAATAGTGCCTCCTTCACAGACTTGCATGAGCACTGAGATTATGAAGGAAGTTGGGCACTGTAAAGTGGCAAACAAATATAAAGTATTCATGAATAACTCCCTTGATCAGCAACACTATGCTGACCTCCAAAGAAGGGTTTCAAAGACACTTAGAGTAATATATAAAAGGCAGAGAAAGGCTGGGGAGAGGTCTCGGGTAGGAAAGTGCTTGCCTTGCAAACACAAGAATCCAAGTTTGATCTCCAGAACCTGGGTCAAAAGATGGGCATGGCGTTGTAATCCTAGAACTGGGAAGACAGAGACAAGCGGATCTCTGAGTGCTTGTGGCCGAACAGCCTAGCCGAATCAGAGCCCTGGGTTCCAGTGGGAGACCCTGTCTACAGCACATCATAGATACTGCATGCACCTTCCTGCACACTTGGATGCACACATGTGTACACACACACACACACACACACACACACACACACGCACGCACGCACGCGCACACACGCACGCACACGCACACACATATGCACACACACACACACACACATATCTCACAGGAAAACATTTAAGTTGTGGATGAGTGGAAACAAGTGACCACCCAGAGCATGAAGCACAGCCCCCAAGAAGCTGATGCCGATGAATAACGGGAAGTTTGGGCTCTCTAGAAGGCCAATGCTGAAAAAGGGAAACCCACTATAAAAGGAAATTCCCAAAGTCAGTAAGTTGAGAGGAGATTGTTGGCTCCGAAAAAAAAGGTTTTGATGCAAAGACAAGATCATGTCCAGTTCCCTGGATCTTATTGAAGGAAATCGGTGAACTGCCTAAAGAGCAGAGTCCTTCCCAGCGCCAGGGAAACCAATGTAGCGATGACCTGCAGCCATTGTTACTACGTGTCACTTGGATCCTGATCCTAGTGATGTCTCCTGCCACCTGCACTAATGATGTACAAGTTGAGGTCTTGTGTGTGAACATGAATCTTTAATGCCACCTCTGTCAGAACTGTCAAGATGGTCAGCTCCACCTCTAAACACAGCACTTTTCCCTGAGGTATAGTCTGAGTCTGATGGAGCCTTCAGTGAAGTATCCTTGGTTACCTGGGAACCTTCTAAATGTAAAAGCTGAAGGACAATATCCTTACAGATTATTAAGAAAAATATAGTAAACTCCTTCCCCAATATTTTGATATTGGTTTATGCTGATGTCTCTATAATACTGACGTCTAATATTTGGATGCTTTATCCAAGGAATAAAATCCATTTCCAAATGTGCTTTCTAAGTTGGTGGCAGCCAGCTTGCTAGCCTTCTAGCTAACTAAATGGGACTAGGGACACAGGTGTGACATAAAAAACGTGCTCTTGTGTTTATCTCGGGGCACAGCTGCTAACACAGCTGAGCGCTGTTGTGCTGAACAGCACTGAAGAACTGGTCTCCCCTTCCAGTCACTAGACACAGCCATTAGGAAGAGCAGCT